TGATATATGATATATGTGAATGAATTATGGCAATTAACATTTCTGTGTTTAGTATCACTTTGTCACAGCTGGCTCAGCAAGTGTCAGCTTATTCAGCAATTCTGGTAGAACTGGGTGCGGTAAAGTGAGTGTATTAATTTGCATGCTACAGGTTCATCTGCACTAGAAAAATTGCACGGGAACACAGAATACAGTTTCCTATGTGTTCTCATCACTGTGCAGAAATATTCAGCATGTCTACCTTTTTCCTGCACTGCAATGCACATAAACACATGCAAAACTGCATGTAAATGCAGCACAAGTGAAAGTGGGGGGGAAAAAAAGTCTAGTATTTTGACTCTCCCACTACCACAAAAAAAAGGAAGTAATAACAGAAAATATAGGGTAAACCGCACGTTGGTTAATGTCGAGGTGCATAAGCCTGATGTACACATCTATCTCTACACGTATAGTGTGAATGAGCCCTGATTTCATGTAATATTATTACTGCCCCCCCTCCCCCACCTCCATGCCAACTATAGGCTCTTGGTTAGACTGTAGATCAGCCTTTCTCAATCTTTTCAACACAGGAACTCTTGAAATAACTTTCCAGTCTCAGGGATCCCCTGATAAAAATTACTATATCTACAACTCATGGTACCGTAGTGTGATGGTAATTGGGAAGAGTGGTCCTTACACTTGTAGTCACTGAGAAGATTTACTCCCTTTATAAATGGCTAAACAGATCAACAGTGTCAATGGGAGCTTATTTGAGTGGTAGAAATTGCTCATGGAACCCCTAGTAATCTCTGGAGGAACCCAAGGGTTCCATGGAACTCTGGTTGAGAAACCCTACCCAAGATGAACAAGTGACCTGCTCAAGGAACTGTAAGCAAAAGCAATCGACCGGCTTACAAACAAAATTGCACCTATAAAGTAATTTGGTAGTCCTTTTGATCTGCCCAATAGTGATATCTGTGTATGGTGACATACTGTACATACTGAAATGGGGTGTAAGGAGTGGACTACCTCTGCTGTGTGATGAACTCTAGATATGGAGGTGGCGACAACCTTTGAAATTGAATAGGTCCCTGTCCTAGTTTATGGTGCGTTCTTGTATTTCACTATAGAGATCCTGGTTCCTCTTCTAGATATTGTTTTCCAGGTGAACTTCATTTTAATTTGTATTCTGTTGGTGTAATATGCAAAGCAGTCTGCATCCTCAAAGCAAAGGGATTTGTCTTCGTTTGTAAATACTTGTCTCTATTACTAAGCTGTTTCCACAATACTGATTCTAAAAATTCTGATGCATTATAAATTATTGAAAAATGTCAGGTAAAAAAACGATTTAGAAATTGATGATGAAATGATTAAGGCTTCTATTTTGTCTTGGTTATCTCTTTCACAGAAAGTGAAAGTAATAAAAAATCCCAAAACATAAAGGGGGACTCTTCCAATGGGGACACTTTTGGGCAGAAAAACCTGCATAAGCACGTGTTAATGCTAGATGCTCATTAAAAGATAAGTTCACCTTTTGCAAAGAAATAATAAATGCACATTTTTTGCAGGTAATATGTGCATTTATTATTTTTGGCTGCAGGAGCCTGTAAAGCATTGCACCAGTAATCCGCAGATTGCTGGTGCCATGCCGGTCTTCTGCAGACACCGCAACATGGTAGTTCATTGAGAGCTACAAGCTGACAGCCACTAAGCCTGTCGGGACTTGTAGTTCATTCATTCACAGAACACTGTGCTGTTTTTAAATACTGACAGCTAGTATGGGGAGTTTCTCCCTGTACTTCTGTTGTGGGAGGGGGGCAGAAGGTGGCGGCTGCAGCATTGGGAACATGTTACATGCTCCACTCTAAAAACGAATGTAACATGTAACGTGTTCGCAAAGATAAACTTAACCTTTAATACATTCTAATGGCCAGAGTGAATTAATATTTTTGCCAGTAGAGTAAATGAACTGAAAAATTGTAAATATGCATAAATATGTGCGCAAAATGCGGCTTGTGGGGTGTAATTTTGTTTTTGTGTTTTTTTGTTTTTTTCTGAGCAAACACTCAGTGGGGTGTTTTAGTTAGAAAAAAAACTGGAGAGTGCAAAATATGGTGCAACTCTGTTTGGGGTAACCAATCAACTTCCAGGTTTTATTGCCAAAGGTTAATCGAACAAGCTGACGTTAGACGCTGATTGGCTACCATGCACAGCTGCACTAGTTTTAGTAAATCTCCCCCAGTGTGTGTGAGGCCTTACAGTGTACAGAGCAGCTTTGTTATTTGGTGGATGGTGTATAGAGCTGGAACGTCTGTCTTCATTTCTCCTGTGCAGATGTCCCCGAACCAATAGCTCTTGGTGGATACTACAATACTGTTGAAATAGTTCTTGGCAACCTTTCTACATGGCACCAGCTTTCAGTCTGTGTTGACAGGTAATAATTTTAACTAGTTTTGAGTTTACCTGGTTAGTCTTGGTTGTTCTAAGGTAGTTTTGGCACAGGGGTTATCTGATCAGTGAATACATGGGAGCATTTGGCAGAGAACTGTATCCATTATACTGGGTCCCATTCTAAAGATAGGTATGGTGGTCAGGCCTCCTATCAATATGGTATGTTATTATGGTGGTCAGGCCTCCTATCAATACTGTATGTTATTATGGTGGTCAGGCCTCCTATCAATATGGTATGTTATTATGGTGGTCAGGCCTCCCTATCAATACGGTATGTTATTATGGTGGTCAGGCCTCCTATCAATACGGTATGTTATTATGGTGGTCAGGCCTCCTATCAATACGGTATGTTATTATGGTGGTCAGGCCTCCTATCAATATGGTATGTTATTATGGTGGTCAGGCCTCCTATCATATATGGTATGTTATTATGGTGGTCAGGCCTCCTATCAATATGGTATGTTATTATGGTGGTCAGGCCTCCTATCAATATGGTATGTTATTATGGTGGTCAGGCCTCCTATCAATATGGTATGTTATTATGGTGGTCAGGCCTCCTATCCATATGGTATGTTATTGTGCCTGTTTCTAGGAATAATCTGGTGGATTGCTTTGAAAATGTTGGACAAGGGACTTGTTCTTCCAATGATTGGACAGTATGAAGTGTGTTTGTAAGTTGTGTGGGTAAATTTTCTTTTTTCACAGCTGAATATTTGATGGCCGCAACATTTCTGTGACCTACTGAAGCAGTATCTGGTTGATCTGTAATGACGTAAGAGTCTTTAGCAATCAGAAGGTAACTACTGCAAGGAAGAAGAATGATTTCCTGTTTGCAAACAAAAAAATCTGTCTATACATTGTGTTTTCTGACATTGGGAATGTCTTCATCCCTGCAGTGTCCCTGGAAGTAGTTAAGGAGATGTACTGTTTTGTTCAGCAGTTTACTTTTACTCTTTCCATGTGTGTATTATATGGGTGTTTATATTGTGCACAAGGCGTGTGTTTCCATACTGGCCAGAGGCAGTTCCGCACACACCCTGATCCTTTGCAAACAATAGGAAACACTAACTAGATAGATTTGTGGCCGGGATCAACTTGCTGTCTGCTCTGCACAATCCAGCTAATAACATTATTAAAGAGCAACTCCAGACCCAGGTGTCAAGTAAAATTACAGTAGAACTATAGACAAAATAAATACATTTATTTATTTTTTCATTTGGATAGAGTAAGGCTGGCCATACACTATACATTTTTATGTCCAATTTTCTTTAGATTTACCTTTAACTATGTTGTGCAAGGGCCTGCCTAATTGGATACAATTGAAAGTGTTGTTTAGGTTTGACCTCATATTATATGTTTTTTGGTAGATCTAAGCAAAATTCTCAAGAAAATTGTATAATGTATGGCCGGCCTAAGGGAAGGTTCTAACCTCTGTCAGTTTATTTTTTGCCTTCAGTGTCCCATTGAGGGGATTTACATTCACTTCCTGTCCCATAGTCAAACAGGAAATGATAGGAAATCCCTGCAAATTAGGGGAATTGTTTGGGAACCCCCAGGTCTCCAGAATTAGTGTCCCCATTGGAAAACTTCCCCTCTATTATGCTTCTCGGGACAGCCCAAAATCTGGGGTTTCTTTTACTTTCACGTTTTGATGATCATTGTAAACAGGACAAATTGAGGATGGATCTCCCTAATGGTGTCACAGAGCAATAAAAACTGAAAGGGGTTCTAATCCTAGATTGTAAGCTCGAAAGGGCAGGGCCCTCGAACCCCTCGTGTATTGTATTCTCATGTACTGTCCCCCCACTTTAATGTACAGTGCTGAGCAATTCTTTTGGCGCTATATAAACACTGTATTATAATAATAATCCATCTCCACTTTATCCAAAACTAAAAAACAAGTTTTACCTTTTTTTTAGTTATTATTTAAAGCATATTTTAACCCAAAAACAAAAAATGTAATCTTTTGAAGTCTACCAGTGGTGTGGTGCCTACTACATTCATTTTTATTTTTTTTCAGGTGGGTTTTTTTTTTTCCTTTTACATGGTGATGAGCTCAGGTTCCAAACGTGAGCCATCTGGCCAGAAAGCTGTTAAAGCAGACAGCCAATCACAGGCGGCAGAGGCATTCCTGACCCTGCAGCCACACGTATACATGACCTGTGCATATATGTGACTGCGGAGAAGGGAATGCCTTTTCAGTGTTAGTCAACAGATCAAAAAGAAGCAAATTGAAGTTCATTGACAGCTCTGTTTACTGTGCTGGGAGCATGCAGTGAGTGCACTTTCAGCACAGAAACCTCAACCACCCATGGACGCAGATGTGTGGGGCATGTGCGTGTTATAAAGAGTTCTATCATGTAAGTCTTGATAGCTCTACATACTGATTGTAGTAGTTTTTCCATTTATAGTTCTAAGCAGGTTTTGAGTCAAATTTTAATAAGTGAACCTCAGATCATTGTTTTCCGTTATGATGTGTGTTTATAAGATTATAACATGCATACCATTTTGAAAGGCTATTTTACCTGTCTCTCTTTTTTTTTTTTTTGTCTTGCAGTGACCATTTGACAATGGTGGTCCCTGAAACCTCTGTCATTCAGCATGATCATCTGATAGTGGCCAACAGCAGTATGGATACAGAAGCTGAATCTGACTACAGTCCTGACCTGAAGGAAGTGCGCAAGCTTCAGGAACTGGTCAGAAGACTGGAAATTCAGAACCAGCAGCTGAGGGTAAAGAAGACTGCACAGAGCAGCAATGACACTGGTGTTGATAATCATCTCTCTACAATTCACTGTACTGGAGTCATGAACAGCATGAACATTCAGCCTGACATGGGAGACCTGGAGATCATCCCCAACCTTCATTCTAAACTGGATCCAAGTCACTTAGAAAAAGAAAACATCCCTCGTATAAGGATGGACTCACAAGTGCAGTATGAAAAGGTGTGTGCTGACTCTATGCTTGCCAACAAGGGAGGGAATCACTGTGATATGGACGATAGCTCTTTCTTTAGCCTGGATATCAGCAGCAGAATGGAGCAGGAGGAAAGCTCTGGCAGTATGTCTGAACGGGGCTCCAGCGGGGATTCTGGGGATGTTTTGGATGAGACGGCCTTTGATGAGGTTGATGTTCTGGAGCTGGACTCATGCAGTGATGATGAGGAAGACTGCTGGTAAGTGTGCTTTTTAAAACTGCCTTTCAGCTAAAAAATGGTGTCGGTGCAAAAAACTGCTGACTTAAGAACTTTTTATTTTAAAAAAAGAGACTATTGAAACTAGCAAGTGCGACCAGTAACATGTTGTACCTAGTTTTCTGGCAGTGGGGGAGTAACTGGTACGCAGTCTAGGCCTGACACCTATACTTGGAATTGTGGGATGGAGCAGTAAAAATAGGTGGTTGAGTAGTTAAGCCTCCGAGGCAACTGGATGGGGTTGCATAGTTGCCAATAAGCTTTGCGGTGTGGCAAGAATGAAACCTCCTGTTGTGTTCAGCTGGCAGTGCTACCGGACGAACAACCCATTCAAATTAAAGGGGCTGTGCTGCAAGTTCATGCAATGCACACAGTAGTGAAAGCTTTGGGGATTAAAACAGGTCTTTAGGAGGTGACTTTTGACTCATCTTTGGCTGTCAAGCTCCCACTGAAAATCTATGCACTGTGGATCACTCTTCTGAGGGAAAAGATTATGTAAATCGGGCCCCATAGAATATTGAAGTATGCTACTTGCATACTACAACATTGCACAGATTAGAGAGAGCATACTGGGGAATCTGTATATTGTGGAAACTCTGAAGTGTGTGCTTGGGTATTACAGACCTAAAGAAGAGTCTGTACACAGCAAGTAAATTTTTTTTTTTTTTTTTTTTTTTTTTTAATCCAATTATCATGCAGGTTATCATTACAATGAGAAACTGACAGTGCCAGTTGAAGGTGGAGATCTCTCCCACATACTAGAAATGTAAAATATGCTGACAGACCTGGTGTTTAATTCAGCTCATCATTAACTATGGATTGGATGAACTTTAAAGTGTAAATAAAGGCAATTTTATTTTTTTTTGGATAGAATAGAGAGGGATTAGAACACCTGTCAGTTTGTATTGCTGTCTGTGCCCTTAGCTAGATTCAACCTCTCTATTTTGTCCAGGACATGAAGGGAAATCTCAGCAATAGGACACAGATGGCTAAAAAAAAAAAAAAAATCTGTAATACTCCCTTGCTCTATCCAAAATGGGGGGGGGGGGGGGGGGAGATTGCCTATAGTTTAATGTATGTGGTCATATAGAGAGAGGAGGAGGAACATTGTAGTTACCCGCAGTTGCAATCAGATGGGATAACTTATCCAGGCCAGCAGTTTGTTCTTCCAGTCATCCTGGGGCATCAGAGAATGCCTACAGACATAAATGTTTGTCTCTTCTATTTAAAATCAGGGAATTTGGAAGATTTTCTTTTCTTTAGCCAACTTCAGCTTGTGAACTTTAAAGAAAGGGTCAGTTGACTGGTGATTTTTGTTTGCACATTTTCTTAGCTTTTTGTCACTTTTATGTTGCGTTGCATGCAAATAGCTCATGTCACCACATTGGGAGATTGTTCTGAGCGGATGTAGAGGGTGGGCCAAGCCAAGGTGAAGGATAGTATAAATACAGCACACATAGAGGCTAAGCCTTTAAGCTCTCTCACTGGATTATTTGTTACCCTTTCTGGAAAAAAGATATAAAATATCACTCTGCCAATGTCCTAATAAACTCTTGACCTGATCAACCACGAGAGATGTCTGCTTGTGGCGAAAAATATTCCTATTCAAGTATGTATTCTTAACTCATCCCTTCCATTGCTCTCAGCTGCCTACAAATTCCTTTTTTTTTTTTTTTTTTTCCCTTTTTTCTTTTTCTCTTTTTTTTTTTTTTTCTCTTTTTTTTTTCCTGCTATGATCTGATCTCCTGTTAGAATGTCTGTCTACCTGTTGTTCTCCATAGTCCCACTGTATGCAAAAACGTGATCACCTTCTCTTGCTCACTCCCGAGTTGGACTATGGGATTTGTAGTGTGCAGAGAGAAGTACATGACCGCAACTAAATTTTACCACTAATTCTGATCAAATGAGGGAAAAGGAGAGGTTTGGGAGCTCACTGAGGATGTCGCTAGGAGGCAGAAAACACAGCAGAAAATAATTTCATGAAAAATAGATTACAGGGCTAGTAAAGTGGAACTTTAGCTCAGAATTAAAGATGGGCAAACAGGAATTTTATTGCAGAAGAGACATGCTTTGTCTCTTCTGCATTAAAGTTTCTTACCTGCCTGACCACACTTGTGAGCTGTGCATGTGCAGCTTACTGTACAAATTGCCGAATATATGACTGAACTCCTGCACATGCGTGGAAGTGTCGTCATCCCCGCTCGGCCAATGACGGTGGCCAGTAATCAAGACCCAGACACCCAGGGATGGACCATCACTGGAGTCAAGGCGAGTATAATTCTGCTTTAAATAGTGTATGTGTGTGGATTATATTTTTGAGAATAAAGATCTCGTTAAGTTGCTTTAGAGAGGTAAAGAATCTGGTGGTTTATGGCTATCTTTTCAAATGAAATATCTGTATATGTATATTTTTGCATGTCTACCTCATACAGAGCCACAGTGGAAAGCTTGACATTGCATTGAGTAAACTCACAGCTGAGACCTGGAGGGAGTTCCCTTTTTGGTCCTGAAAAGCTTATTATATCATTAGGATTATGCACATTAAGCTGATCTTCAAGCTTGTGTACTATGAGAGGTTCACCACAATGGAAAGTATTGTGTAGACCTCACGTTGCAGTGATTTCGCTAGTCTCTAGTAAATTGCTAAGCCACTTATTGGATAATCCCGATATACAGTGGCCATGTGTCAGGCTTTGAATGATGTTGGGTTGCTTCACCCTTTTGGCTTGGTATGTGTGTCAGGTGAATTCTTTCAGAATACCAGGCTCTGTCCTTATCTTTTCCCTTCATGGATGCCTAAGTCTTCTGGAGCTGGCCACTTAGTGTGCACAGATACAGTCAGGTCCATAAATATTGGGATATCAACACCTTTTTGGCTCTATACACCACCACAATGGATTTGAAATGAAACGAACAAGATGTGCTTTAACTGCAGACTGTCAGCTTTAATTTGAGGGTATTTACATCCAAATCAGGTGAATGGTGTAGGAATTACAACAGTTTGCATATGTGCCTCCCACTTGTTAAGGGACCAAAAGTAATGGGACAGAATAATCATAAATCAAACTTTCACTTTTTATTACTTGGTTGCAAATCCTTTGCAGTCAATTACAGCCTGAAGTCTGGAACGCATAGACATCACCAGACGTTGGGTTTCATCCCTGGTGATGCTCTGCCAGACCTCTACTGCAACTGTCTTCAGTTCCTCAATCAAAAAAGCTCCTAAACAGCCACAAAACACTACTTCCTCCCTAGGAAGTAAATAATCAATTATGTGTACTTTTTGTGATGAACTTCTAAATACACCCAATCTATCTCAAAGATTCAGTAAACCCACATATTCCAAAAGGTGATAATCAAATCTGAACCTAGAATAATAAACCACCCCACCAATATATAATCCGAAATAATCAAATATAACAATCAAAATAATAAAATAACAATAGAATAAAATAAAAATAAAATAAGAATAAATAAAATAAGTGTCCAGATCTCCAAAAAAATATAATATAATATAAAATAAAATAAATGTCCAAAATTCCCAAAAAAAGTTCAAAAAAAGTTCTTTTTGTGTTCAGTGAAGCAAAACGATTCCCAAAAATACCTTGATATCCTCAAATAAAAAAGAAAAATATCATAGTGTAATACCCTCAAACATAAATATATATATGCTTCACACTGTGCAAACTCAAATCACATCAAAAAAATAGTGAAAAATCAATAAATTAAATAAACGTGAGAAATCGTGATCACTCCAATCTCAAGTGAATAGTGATACTAGGTATCAATATCCTTGATACTCCAGCCAAAGTAGATGCTAAATACTATTACCCCTCTTATGATATATTCAGGCATATACATATATAAAATTTATACCTTTTTATGGAATCTGCCTGATAGAGCCTTTCTTTGTCCATATGAGGAATACCCCGGGATAAGAATGATGGAGAAATACCTTTCCTGTCTAACAGTATATGCCTGAATATATCATAAGAGGGTAATAGTATTTAGCATCTACTTTGGCTGGAGTATCAAGGATATTGATACCTAGTATCACTATTCACTTGAGATTGGAGTGATCACGATTTCTCACGTTTATTTAATTTATTGATTTTTCACTATTTTTTTGATGTGATTTGAGTTTGCACAGTGTGAAGCATATATATATTTATGTTTGAGGGTATTACACTATGATATTTTTCTTTTTATTTGAGGATATCAAGGTATTTTTGGAAATCGTTTTGCTTCACTGAACACAAAGAACTTTTTTTGAACTTTTTTGGGAATTTTGGACTTTTATTTTATATTATATTATATTTTTTTGGAGATCTGGACACTTATTTTATTTATTTTTTATTTTATTATTTTGATTGTTATATTTGATTATTTCGGATTATATATTGGTGGGGTGGTTTATTATTCTAGGTTCAGATTTGATTATCACCTTTTGGAATATGTGGGTTTACTGAATCTTTGAGATAGATTGGGTGTATTTAGAAGTTCATCACAAAAAGTACACATAATTGTCTTCAGTTCCTGCTTGTTCTTGGGGCATTTTCCCTTCAGTTTTGTCTTCAGCTTTGTCTTCAGCAAGTGAAATGCATGCTCAATCGGATTCAGGTCAGGTGATTGACTTGGCCATTGCATAACATTCCACTTCTTTCCCTTAAAAAACTCTGTGGTTGCTTTTGCAGTATGCTTTGGGTCATTGTCCATCTGCACTATGAAGCGGCGTCCAATGAGTTCTGAAACATTTGGCTGAATATGAGCAGATAATATTCCCGAAACACTTCAGAATTCATCCTGCTGCTTTTGTCAGCAGTCACATCATCAATAAATACAAGAGAACCAGTTCCATTGGCAGCCATACATGCCCACGCCATGACACTACCACCACCATGCTTCACTGATGAGGTGGTATGCTTAGGATCATGAGTAGTTCCTTTCCTTCTCCATACTCTTCTCTTCCCATCACTCTGGTACAAGTTGATTTTGGTCTCATCTGTCCATAGGATGTTGTTCCAGAACTGTGAAGGCTTTTTTAGATGTCGTTTGGCAAACTCTAATCTGGCCTTCCTGTTTTTGAGGCTCGCCAATGGTTTACATCTTGTGGTGAACCCTCTGTATTCACTCTTGTGAAGTCTTCTCTTGATTGTTGACTTTGACACACATACACCTACCTCCTGGAGAGTGTTCTTGATCTGGCCAACTGTTGTGAAGGGTGTTTTCTTCACCAGGGAAAGAATTCTTCGGTCATCCACCACAGTTGTTTTCCATGGTCTTCCGGGTCTTTTGGTGTAGCTGAGCTCCCTGGTGCGTTCCTTCTTTTTACAAATGTTCCAAACGGTTGTTCTGTCCACGCCTAATGTTTTTGCTATCTCTCTGATGGGTTTGTTTTGTTTTTTCAGCCTTATGATGGCTTGCTTCACTGATAGTGACAGCTCTTTGGATCTCCTCTTGAGAGTTGACAGCAACAGATTCCAAATGCAAATAGCACACTTGAAATGAACTCTGGACCTTTTATCTGCTCATTGTAATTGGGATAATAAGGGAATAATACACACCTGGCCCTGGAACAGCTGAGAAGCCAATTGTCCCATTACTTTTGGTCCCTTAACAAGTGGGAGGCACATATGCAAACTGTTGTAATTCCTACACCATTCACCTGATTTGGATGTAAATACCCTCAAATTAAAGCTGACAGTCTGCAGTTAAAGCACATATTGTTCGTTTCATTTCAAATCCATTGTGGTGGTGTATAGAGCCAAAAATGTTAGAATTGTGTTGATGTCGCAATATTTATGGACCTGACTGTATATTCATTGTCAGAGTCCTGAGAAACTGAGGTCGTTAACACACCTGAATTGACTGTTAATGAAAATGTTGATTTGAGTACAGTAATCCATCTATCATTTTTATTTATTTATTTTTTCCTCTTCTGTTCATTGAAGGATACAGCCAGATTTTCAGATCTTGGCTGATGGGTTTGATTATGCCCCCCCCCCCCCCCCCCCCCCCCCTGCAAAATACAGCTCAGCTAGTGCTTAGGAGCTAGGACCTAGAATTGGGGATGATCCTAGACCAGGATTTCTCAAACAGAGCGCCACGGAACCCTAGGGTTCCTCCAGAGGTTGCTAGGGGTTCCTTGAGAAATGAGCATTTCTGTCTCTTGGATAAATTCCCACTGACACCATTGATCTCTTCAGCTATCTATAAGGGGGTAAACTTTCCCAATGACCACAAGTGTAAGGAGTATTGTTCCCACTGACAATCATGCTAATGTATCATCAGCTGTAGATACAGTAATTTTTAATTGGGGTTAAAAATGGGATTGGGAAGTTATTTCAAGGGTTCCTCTGTGGTGAAAACGTTGAGAAGGGCCCTCCTAGAAAAAAGCCAGGCAGCACTGTCATCCACAATTTCCAGGTGAATTCGTCAGACAGTGGTTTGAGCCCATGCTCTTTTGGGCCAGGAACCTTCTGTTTCCTGTTACTGCTGAGCACACCCTGGGCTTGTCATTCTACTTCTGTTGTTGCAGTTTGCAAGGTGGCTACTTGGTTGTCTGTGCGCTCTTTTACCTCTGCGTTTACCAGTTCCGCTTGGAAAGTTTTGGAGGTAGCAGTTTCAGCTCTGCCAGGGTGTGATTCCATGTTCTGAGCCCACCCCTAGTCTTTGGCACTGCTTTGAGAAATCCCATCAGTGAAGATCTGTGTCCTTCAATGGCATAAGAGAAAAATTAGATTCTTGTTTTCTCTTTAAAATCCTTTTCCCCTGAGTTCATTCAAGGACAGCATCCTCCTTTTTTTCTTTTTTCCAGTCTGTTGTTTTTTTTTTCTCTCTCAATACTGCTGGCGAACAGAGCTGTGTATGGAGATGGGGGCAGCAGGGGCAACCCATAGGGTGTTTTTCTTTTTTGTTGTACCTAGTGTCCTGCTCCTGCAGGTGGCGGAATCAAACCCATCCTTCAAGATCTGAAGTTCTAGCTGTGTCCTTCAATGAATGCAGAGAAAAGGATGCAAAAATCCCAAATTTTTTATATTTATTTTTGTACGCTTTAATTTAATTTATCCATTTTCTGATGCTGTAGCCAGTGCTCTGTTGTGGGTGCTGAAACTAATTTCATTTATGCAGAAACAATTTTCAGCTCTGAAATATTTTAAACTATGCTGTGCAGTATGACTGGGGAGAAATCTCTTGACCTAGATTTTTTTTATGTTGAGGGCTGTTCTAAATAGTAATGTCAAATATCAGGCAACAGTCATCAGATATCAACAACTATGTTTTTGGTTTTTAGATTTGTTTTGAGTGGTTTGATTTCTCTTTAATTTTTTTTATTTTGTATTGTATTTTTTTTTTATTCTTAATATTGTGTGGTATGACCATCCCTACCTGTATTTGGTTTATTTGTGCGCTCTTTCTTGTAACCGTTTTGTGACCAGGCCAAATATAATAAAATGGTGTAATAACATTTTTTAACATCACTATTAAATTAACAATTTGACATAGTTGTCAGGTCACCCACTGAGAAAAATATTCTACAAAGAGAACATTCTAAAACTGGTTCTATTGGTTCTGAACATCACTAAAAGGAGTTACAGTGATCAGGTTATTAGAGCAAGTAATTTGACAGATCAGTATTAATGTTAATTGGTTAACAAACAATTCTACCTGTTAGGATGGCTCCACACCTTTACCTGCACGTTGGTGTGTGTTGTTAATGTAAATTCGATTTTAAGGAGGATCCCATTAATTTCTAAATTGCTTTCTACACGTCAGCAAAGTAAATGTTGCGCCTGACCCTGTTGCCGCCCACGTAAGACATGTGTCCATGGGCAGCTGAGGTTTCTGCACCGAGAGAGTGGGTTGTCCAAGAAAGCTCTTGCTCCCCATGAACGGCAGCCGTCAGAACTGGCTTCCGACCATGTGACCAAGAACAGGCAGCCACAGTGGTCAGTTGAAAGCCGATTCTTCCTGTCCGACCGGGTGTACAGACCCTGATAAAAGCACGCTGGGGCTGGGAGGAAGGGGGGTTAACACACCATGACTTACAGACGAATATACATGCTCTGAGTTAGGGGAAAAAGTACTTTTTCTTCAAGTCTCATTTAATCCCAAATGGGTAAATATGGGCTCTTTAAGTTGCTGACTGATAACTTGGATAACATTAGGGAGGCTAACTATAGGTCTAGAAATGCTTTTATCAATTTAACGCTGACATTGCTTACAACTATCCTATATTCAGTGGCTTTAGGTCACTTTTTTGATATATGTTTTTGTTTTTTATGCTTTTGCGTTGAAGTTCATTTTTCATATACTTCTCATTCTGTGGTCCTCATGTGGCCCCTCAGTGATCCTGGAGATTCCCCAGAGTTGAATGGACACAGGTTACCCAATCATGTATCATTGTGATGGTGCCCAACATCTGTAGAATAAGCTTAAGGATATATTATTTCATATAATTCCTGTTGTGTTTTCTCCTCTTGTTTCAAGGCTTTATGTCTCTCCAAAGAAGCATGCAAAGGCAGAGCAGAAAACTGATTCTCCCTTAAAATGGTGTCGCCAAGTGCTGGATCACCACAGTCCAGAGACGGAGGCTGCTTGTCGGACATTAATAGGCAAGCTTGATCAAGGTAAGTAACAAGATAATACTATTTGTTTAATGGTCTCATTGTCCCATTTTATGCAAACTAAGGGCTCATGTACACAGGACATTTGGAAAACTCTTCTGAATGATGGAAACTGACTCCTGGGAAACGTAGGTTAAAAACGTCAGTTTAGCCGCATTTGCATACTGCGTTTTATGCGTGTTTAGCCACGTTTGCACTCAAAAGCGTTTTTAAAAGATAACCTCAGGAGACCCTCCCAAATGCCCTGAAAAATACTAAATAACTATTTCAGACATTTTGAGAGAAATAGAAAGAGCAGTATGTGTTGAGATTACCTGTCTTTTCTGGTTGTATTCACTATGGATCCCATCATGAGCATAATGCGGCACGTTCTACCATTTTTTTTTTTTCTCCTTCACGCGAAACCTGGACCTGACTGCCCTGGTGTACTGGGTCCATTTGAATACATGGAAAACTCTTTGCATGCATTTCTGATGATGAAAAAAGGCTCTGGACAGCATCTGGAACTGATAAAAAAAATGCTTATAAACGGGGTTAACCGCGTTTACAAGCCTTTGGAGTTTGAAACGCTGGTAAAATCTACTCCTGAACGCAAGTTTGGTGCGTTAAAAAAAACGACTGTAAACTCAACTGCCTGTAAACAACTATGTGTACATGGATACATAAGAAAACATAAAGAGGAGTTCAGGGGCTGCTGAAGAAAAACGCTGAACAGCTCCTGAATGTCAGTTTTGCAACTGCAGTGTGCATGAGGCCAAAAGGATTATTTTGGCGCAGAAATGTAAAATTTCTCACCATGCTGGAAAATGCGTAGCTGTGTAGTTCTATTGAACTGTACCATTGGGGTAAGTACATACAGAGTGGATGGGACACCGTTAAATAGTTAAAACCTTACCCAAATTATTTTACAGTGTATGCATTGAGGTCTATTTACTAAAGGAGTTGAGAATCTTCACACAATGAATTAAGTAAACCTTTCAATAATCCAATCATGAGAAGGACATTTTGTATACTTTGAATATCTATTACTGTACAGATGAAATACATTAACAGGAATTTGTTCTCCACATGAGTGGATAATTGAAGTGAATATTTACTTGAGTAAAAATTCTCAACTCTTTAAGTCATCCTCATTATGTCTGTATAGCTGTAATATTCTGAGCTAAGTACAGGTGAATGTGCGGATGTTCATGTGGCTTTACTGTGATGTGCAAGTCAAATGGAACGTCCTGTATGGGATTACATTACAGGAAGTCGGATGTAATTGAAACGATTGCTGCACACTATAGCAGCTTCATCTCTATAACGTTCTAAAATCTAATCCTATAAAACAAATGATGGTGGAAAGTGCAATGTGACTCGTGGCATGCAGTCAGAATCCCATTTTACGCTTTTTAGGTTCACACCTACATGTTTGCTGCAGCTCGTGTTGTATGGGCACAGAAGCCCATTCATTGGAATGGGTTGTTGTACTTCTAAGAAATGCAGGAACGGTCCCTTGCAGCTTGTTAAAAACGCAGCTGCAGGGAAACGCTCCATGCAATTTCCAACACCTGAAACGCACTGCGTTTTCAAATGCTTGGGGGCGCCATTAAGAATGAATGGTAGCACCATGCGTCCTCAAAAGAGCAGCATGTTTTAGGTGCGGGAATAGGTAGGATTTACATACTGTCCTGAACCTGTACCAGTGTGAACCTAGTCTTACAACTTTTCTGAAGTCAATTCTAAAGGCTTGCTCATTTGTACTTTTTATTGCACCCCTCTCAAGAGGTTATATAGCTAATAATTGGAAAGGTTATTGGGCACAGATTGTGTCAATTGATTATCTCTGAATGCCATGATACATTTACTGCAGGCATGTAATGTCCATCCTCTAGGGAGGAGTGTAATGTCCATCCTCTAGGGAGGAGTGTAATGTCCATCCTCTAGGGAGGAGTGTAATGTCCGTCCTCTAGGGAGGAGTGTAATGTCCGTCCTCTAGGGAGGAGTGTAATGTCCATCCTCCTAGGGAGGAGTGTAATGTCCGTCCTCCTAGGGAGGAGTGTAATGTCCGTCCTCCTAGGGAGGAGTGTAATGTCCGTCCTCCTAGGGAGGAGTGTAATGTCCGTCCTCCTAGGGAGGAGTGTAATGTCCGTCCTCCTAGGGAGGAGTGTAATGTCCGTCCTCCTAGGGAGGAGTGTAATGTCCGTCCTCCTAGGGAGGAGTGTAATGTCCGTCCTCCTAGGGAGGAGTGTAATGTCCGTCCTCCTAGGGAGGAGTGTAATGTCCGTCCTCCTAGGGAGGAGTGTAATGTCCGTCCTCCTAGGGGGGGAGTGTAGCACTGTCTTTTCTTAATAAGCACACAGGATACGAACATCTTTTAGGTTACATTTACACCGGAAATTAGGGCTTGTGTGAATTGTAGCGGCAGTCTGCGGGTAGGTTCAGCTGCCGGCCCTGTGCGCTTTGACAGATCGTTGGCAGCCACACCTATTTGCGGCTCTCTGCGCAGCCTGTGGTGATCGCTGCTGGACGCACACTTTTGAGAACTGCGTCTACAATTTGCACCAGCCATATTCACCAGTGTGAATGTAGCCTTAGTTGTATGATATTGTAATGTCTGATTTAGTTATACGTAGAACATTTTTTCAGATATTTATTCAATCATAGAAACCAGGCTACTATCTGCTTTTTCCCATCCAATTTTTCTGTATTCTACTTTTACCTCACCGGCACTATGGTATGCAGACAAGGGCAGCTGGTGGAGGTTAGAGTTGAGAGCATTTAGGCTTCCATCTGTGTTTATGTATTGTATGCACAGTCTTGGCTCCAGCCCAGATGGTCGCATACAATGCACCTGTTTCCCCTCCCCAGTCCAAACTGCGACTAAAACTGAAAGTTTGCAGAGTAAACAATTGACCTAGAGGTTGGATGAAATGGTGTCACCAGTCATTCAGAGTTCATGGTTTCCTGTATGAAGAAATTGCTTTCACACACAAGCCTGTTTGGGGGGGAATAAAAATTGAGATCTAGTTATTGAAATGTGCAGGATAAGCACATATTGTTTTGGTGAATACATCGCCTCAGAAATGAGGAAGTGAATCGGTTATCTCCAGTTTTATCTCCACCAGCATGAACTGGGAATGCAAATACTTTGGTGATGTTCCAGCACATAGAGAAGATTGTGCAGCATTTGATAGATGCCACGTCTTGCGTACATGTTGGGGACCTGCAGGCTATAGAGAACAGAGCCCTTTCTTTGTTGCTGTTGGGCCAAGGCCATATGACATGGATGCCTGAGGGCGGCTGACATTTTGGAGTGCGCATGCTGTGGAATCTGTGCGCACCTTCACAGTTCTGGTTTGTAATTACTAAAGTAATCTAAGTGATATCACTCTCCTTAATACAGCTCTGTTGCTATAAATAATAAATAAAAAAACACAAATATTTAAGTGTGCTATCCCTATTAAACATCTACATCGATATCTGATAATATTCAAAAAGTGCAAGATTAGTATATACAGTTGGGAAAATAATTATTTGATCCCCTGCAGATTTTGTAAGTTTGCCCACTTACAAAGAAATGAAGGGTCTATAATTTTTATCATGGGTGCATTTTAAATTATAGAGACAGAATATCAACCACAAATCCATAACAAACACATGATACAAATGTTATAAATTGAGTTGCAGTTCAGTTAGTAAAATAAGTATTTGATCCCCAAGCAAAACATGACTTAGTACTTGGTGGAGAAACCCTTGTTGGCAAGCGCAGAGGTAAGACATCTCTTGTAGTTGGTTACCAGGTTTGCACACATCTCAGGAGGGATTTTGGTCCACTCCTCTTTACAGATCTTCTCTAAATCCTTAAGATTTTTTGGCTGTCGCTTGGCAACTCGGAAGTTTCAGCTCCCTCAAATTTTCTATAGGATTAAGGTCTGGAGACTGGCTAGGCCACTCCATGACCTTAATGTGCTTCTTGAGTCACTCCTTTGTTGCCATGGCGTTATGTTTTGGGTCATTGTCATGCTGGAAGACCCATCCACGCCCCATCTTCAGTGTTCTGGCTGAGGGAAGAAGGTTCTCATCCAAGATTTTAAAATACAATTTGCTGTCCATTGGCCCCTCAATGCGGCAAAGTTGGCCTGTACCTTTAGCAGAGAAACAGCCCCAAAGCATAATCTTTCAACCTATGTGCTTGATTGTAGGGATGGTGTTCTTATGGTCATAGTCAACATTTTTCTTCCTTCAAACACAGCGAGTCGAGTTAATGTCAAAGAGCTCAATTTTGGTCTCATCTGACCACCACACTTTTTCCCAATCCTTCTTTAGATGGGCTTGTACATGTGCCTTCTTGAGGAGGTGGACCTTACGGGCACTGCAAGATTTCAATCCATGGCGGCATATTGTGTGTTTGGTGAATGTGGTCCCAATTGCCTTGAGATCATTCTCAAGCTCCTCCCGTGTAGTTCTGGGCTGATCCCTCACTTTTCTCATGATCATCCTTACCCCATGAGGAAAAATCTTGCATTGAGCTCCAGACCGAGGGCAAATGATGGATATTTTGTATTTCTTCCATTTGTGAATTATCATTCCCAACAAGTCCAGCCTTGTGTAGGTCTACAGTCTTTTCCCTGACATCCTTGGACAGCTCTTTGGTCTTTGCCATGGTGGAGAGTTTGGAATCTGATTGTTTGATTGCTCCTGTGGACAGGTGTCTTTTATACAGGTAACAAAATGAGATTAGCAGCACTCCCTTTAAAAGACTGCTTCTAATCTCAGCTTGTTATCTGTATGAAAGACACCTGATAGCCAGAAATCCTGCTGAATGATAGGGGATCAAATACTTTTCCCTCATGAACATGCAAATCAGTGCATAATTTGTTAAACACGCATTTCTTTTGACTTTTTTGTTGCTATTCTGTCTCTCAGTGTTACAATACACCTACCATTCGATTTTCAGACTGATCATTTCTTGGTGAGTGGGCAAACATTCAAAATCAGCAGGGGATCAAATACTTATTTCCTTCACTGTGTGTGTGTATATGTATGTATATGTGTGTATGTGCAATGTTAATGAACCGAAGTCTGTATTCAAAATGTGAGTCACTCCTTCCTACATGAACTATTACCAAAAAAAAGTTCCAATCCATCTAAAACAGACAATTTTAAAATCCAAAGTATTTTGTCATGCAAGACCTCAATATCTTTGTGTAACCTCAAAATCCTGTGTCCCTCTGTCTTCCAGCGTGGTAAAGGGACACAGGATTTTGAGATTACATGAAGATATTGAGGTGTTGCATGACAAAGTACTTTGGATATTAGTTGCCTGTTTTGGATGGATTGGAACTTTTTTTTTTTTTTTCTGGCGTTAGTTCTTGTATGGAGTGACTCTCACATTTTGAATGCAGAGACTTTGGTTCATTAACATCGGACAGTGATGACATTTGTACACATATAATAATTTTCTTTTGTTTTTTTATTTGAATTTTTGTGTATTTTTACGAAGATCTATTCTTACAGTGCTGTATTTAAGGGTGATATCACTTTTTATTGATTTATGTACTGCAAGGGTAGCAGTGGTATTAGGGTTTTAACATTGCGACACAGCGTTTTTTTTTTTTTTGTTTGTTTTTGTTTTTTTTGTTTAATTAAGAGGTCTTTGATTACGATTTCATTCTGTTTTATGTGCAGTTCTTCTGTAAGCCTGTATATGTATGTTTCTTTTTTGCACTTTTATCAGAATGGACAAGGTAAGCTTTGCTGTTATTCAGATGTCACCGGGGGATTATTTTCATCAGCACGTAGCTGCTCCTTAAAGAAGATTTCCGGTCTACTCTGACCTGTAGAATAAGATGAACAGATGGAAGGGTCTGGGTTATACTGAGAACTTCTAATGTATGTGTGCAATTCACCCTAATGTTTGTTTAAACTAACCTGGTTATACCTTTTACATTGTCATTGTAGCAAGTAGATGGAAAAGCCTTTACTGCAGCCCACTGGCATCACCAAGTGCATATAACGCCAACAATGAGAGCGGCAGTTGTAGCAATACACTAAATTCACCGGGGTGCCTCAAATCCACTAACAAAGCACTACTAACCTGTGGCAGCTCAGGTATGGCATGACTTGTAAACTGCATGAATCCTAACGCAACACCTAATTATTCTGTGTTTCCCTAACGTGACCCTCACAATGCATAGATAAATGTTTGCAATATGACTGTGTAAAGATGTCTTGTTTTCTGACTCTTTGCTATGTGGCTTGGCTTGTGTGTATTAATGTACCAATGTATTGTTGACACTTGAACTTGTTTAACATGTTTGCTTTTACTAGAGGTGTTTGGTATAGCAGTATGCACGGCTGCAACAGGTAATGTTCCAGGATCCAATTTTTACAGTGAACAAGTAAAACAATGGATGATCTCCCAGATGAGCTCACACCTAAGATTGGGCTGCAAGCTTTGCCCATGGCTCTTATAATAAGGTTTAGGAAGTTTTCTACTATATACTGTTTTATGGCCCTTGTCTGTGAGACTTTTGAGCAGTGTTTGCTGTATAATTGTGCTTGCAGACACAAAGCGAACCAAAGTGGAGTGAAAGCCTGGCACGTAGTAATCTAGGTGTTAGAAAATATGGCATTTGTATTTCCGTACACAACACTGGGACTTGCGTGTCCTCCGACAGAATTTGCTATGCTAGGTGCTGCTGTGATGGGTGTTTTTGACTCGTGCAACTCCCTTTTTGGCAGCATCTCGGCCATCAAAATGTATTTAGTTATAGAAAATGTAGCAATCCGATTGATGACTTTTTGAAAATTGTTATTGGTAAGTCATGAGTCAGATGAACCACATGCCTGTGTATGGCTGGAATTATTTTCACCATGCAGTGGAACTGGCCTGAACCTAACGTGGTTGCACTGAATACCAACTGTTGCCATCTTAGTGACACTGCTCAGTGGTTTAAGAGACTTGTGCTGAGAGATCTATGATAGACTACAGATCTTTCCTGCATGCTGGATGCTTGGCTGTCATGTTGATCACTGGTTTTAAAGGTAATTTCTTGTCAATAATAAAAATTCAACCTTAAGATACATACATACATACATACATCAGTTAATGTGTATGCTGTTTTGAATTCATAGCTACTTGAATACTGGCAAGATCTGCTTATTCAAGGGACCCCCTCCCCTTCTTCACATGCTAAAAGTACCTGTGGGGGGGAAAAAATAGATAATATACTTGTCTTTCTCTGATTTCTGTAGTGTTGAGGGCAATGACATCTCCTGCCAACAAAATCCCTGGGAATGCTGAGTAGCCCAAATTGCACAAGACACTGTTTCACAGAGTAAGATCATCTTGTGACCTTGGCTATTCCACAATCTCCAGGATATGGCTGGAAACAAGATGACATCCCCTTTGTTTAAGAGCTACAAGAGGAAGTAGATAGAAGTATATTATGTATACCCCCTTCCCACAGTTACTTATATGCAGTGTTTTCAGGAGATGGAGGGAAGGTAACTTAAATAATGTGAACCATCCACCTCAGTGGCAAGATTTACCTAGGTATAGTCTCCGACCTAGAAGTTCAGTTCAGATCTGGCTTTCTCAGGAGAGGTTGGTACTGGCAGCCTACATTCCTTTGCTTCGGATTCCTTTAAAAAGATAAGTTCACCTTTTGTAAATAAATAGATAAATGCCCATTTTTTTGCAGGTAAAAAAAATGCATTTTTTTTTTAGTCACAGGGTTGATTTACACTGGAGCTTGCAAAGAATTGCACCTGTGATCAGCAGATCGCGAGTGCTATGCCAGGCTCCTGCGGACTATAAACTGCAAGAGCGCTCACCAGCTCCCTCGTAGCTGATTGAGAGCTACAAGCCTTGTAGTGCATCATTCACAGACCTCTGTGAATGAGTGACGTGACTGCATGTCCATGCTGTTTTTAAAAGACCACCCCTCCTGCTGTCACAAGGCTCAGGGGCAGGGGAGGCAGAAGCTGGAACATGTTATATGTATGTTCCACCCTAAATACGGGTGTGACATGTAACATTCAAAAGGTGAACTTATCCTTTAAGAGGAAGGTGAGAGGTGATGCTAAAGGCTTGTGTACACATAATTTGTTTTCTCTCTTCCCCATAGCTCCTGATATTGTGCTGCTATAGCCTAGCTACATTTATTAAAAGAGGCAAGGTGCTTTACATAAGCCAGTGTTATGAACCTCCCATGCTTAATGAGCTGTATGCCCTGATTACTTTTTTTTTTTTTTCTTCTCTATAGGCCACAGTCTTACCACTGTAAATGTTTGTGTTTTATACTATTTGTTTAACACAAGGTGCTGATCTTTTTTGCATTTACAATTTTATCTAATTCTGTTAATAAACTCTTTGTAAAAAGGAAAAAGGCAGGGTGCAGAATTCCATAGTAACTAGAGTTGATCTCTGTGAGCCCAGTTCAATGAAAAGAAAGTTGTACACCGTGTCTTAATATTTTGTTTCATTCACTAGTCCTGTAAATGTCTAATATAATATTTATTACTGGAGCTGTAGGATGACTAGAAATGTAGAACTTGATATATTGACATATATCCCCTATGAGTTAAATTACACCTGTGCACATTAAAGTATTTACATATTTGTATTCAGTAAAGAGCTTTACAACAAGACATCCCAAACCTCCCTAGCTGCTTGCGTTGTGAAGTAATTCATTCTCAAATATAACAACAAGGACCCTAAAGCTGGCAACCAACTCTAAAGCATACACACCAGTAGCATTTTGTGTGAAAACTTTATTTCCAGAACATTTGTTCAGTTTCCTAATGGTTTTGGGGTAAATCCTCATTTTTATTTGAGCATAGTAATGCGAATGAGAAGCAGCAGGATGGAAAACATTTCTTGAATGAGATGTGAACGTGACTTTCTTTTTGGAAAAGTGTGTGTATGCTAGTCACAAAAAAACCTGTTATATACAGCTGGGATTCCATTCAAGTAGCAGGTCTGGGAAAAAATTTGTGTTTCAAAACAAATTATTTGACTCAATGATGGCAAGACCAAATGCTCAGTGGGATACTTTTTCAGAATTTCCAGTGAATCTCCTCTTTGCCTATACTACACAAAGTAAAAGGTTCACTGGAATAACACTAAACAGCTAGTACTGACCTTCCCTATACTAGATCACAACCCTGATCCACCAGCCGGCTTGAGGAATACTGGGTACTACTGTGTGAGCACGCTTACTACCCTGTGCCAATCAAACAATTGGCAGGCTTGGGCACGGGACCGATCTAGTATTTACAGTCCTGCGGAAGAAGAATCTTGGGGTGTCTGGCAGATGACTAGGGTGGTTAGAGATACAGGGAAGGCAAGTACTAGATGCTTATGGTAACCTGTGGCTTTATTAAGATAAACCTGTACTTTGTCCACACTAATAAATAAAAAAAAAGTATTTCCTAAAGGAAATGGGTTTCTGGCTGTCTGCTAGGAGCAACATTTCCACTTATGTCTAGAGGTTAACATTAAAGTGTGTATACTATCTTCTTTTATATCTTATCTGTTTGTTTGTTTTTTTCCAGGGTATTTGGGTGTCCATTCTGCACTCAGCTCTCAGTCGTCTGTGGACAGTGAACTGAGCACATCAGACGATTCCATATCTATGGGCTACAAACTCCAAGATTTGACTGATGTGCAGGTTATGGCCAGACTGCAGGAGGAAAGTAAGATCACTTTTTCTGTGTTGAGGTGGTTATGCACATTAGTCTTATGTACAATCTCCTTTTGAGTTACCCATATTGATAGTGTGAAGCCTGTCTAATTGGTTGGTTTAGTAAATAAAGCACCACTCTCCCAACCAGCCACCATAACCTGTGTGTGAGGATTGGCTTCAGGCTACATATCTCCAATAAGAAACAATGCCTACTGACAAGTTTCGAATCGCCCACCAGAGCTTAGTCAGGGCATGGGCTTGCCCACTCTAAGCCCCGGTGGGTGGGGCAAAACGTGTTAGGGCATGGTTTCTTTGACATATGTAGGTTGAAGTCATCCTCCCATATATGTTAAGGTGGCTGGTTGGGAGAGTGGGTTTTTCTCTACTGCAGACATCGCTGTGGATGGGTATGCTGACAGCCTGCACCCCTTCACCTGCAGATCATGGGAATGGAATCCATGGCTTTGAGCGGTGTTCCAAGCTTAGTCTAATTGGTTAGTTTAGTTAGACCTTCAGTCTTCATCATAGTAGTAAATCTGGAGGAGATTGTACAGACACTATATAATTATAATGTAGCGTGTGCTTTAGATAACTTGTCATTAAGCACATGCTTGAGATTGTGTATTTTTGTATATAGTTTTATTATTTTCCTAACTAAAAAAAAGACAAGGTAAATATATGATTTCCATAGAGTTGTTGGGAAAAGGCTATGTACATAATTTTAATTTCCTGGCTTGGACAAATGTATGTCTGCATGTTCTATACCTGGAGGGTCTGTTCAGGAGAAGAATTCCTGCAGTAGCCACCACTAGTACAGTCATGCTCTCTCTTCAGATCCCAGTGGTTGCCCTGCGGCATAATAACCTCAGGGGGTTGATGGCTCCACAGAGGCGCACCATTCAGAGAACGCCTTGTATCTTTGATTGGACAAGGTGGAGATTGGGGTGTCACTGCCCAGCCTCTTCACCTTGCCCAATCAAAATTCTGTGCATTCATTTAAAAAATGGAAAATGTTCTTCTGTATGGTGTCCATTCCATGCGAGCAGAAAAGTCTGTCTGCTACTGCAGCAGGGAGGAATGCAGTGAAGCCCAAGTACATTGACATCTCTGCATCTCCCATAAATGAAATTCTGTACCTCTCTACAGACCTGGGTCCGGTGAATGCCTGTGCATTGCACCCACAGTACTGATCACAATTGCAATTCTTTGCAGGCTCTAATGCAATAAATAAATGCACTATATTTCTTTTGTGACGGTGGCTGCATTGAAAAGGTGGACTGTGCCTTTAACTGCTGAGTCTAAATGAAAAGAATTTGGTTGCTGCCCTAGGTAGCTTAGTTATGAGGTAGTACTTTCCACAGAGTGCCATCTGGTGTTGGGTAACTGGTAGTACAGCTTCACACTGTATAAAGCATAAATGCATAAGAAAGTCAGATCAGTTTTTGTGCTTTTGCATCTAAAAGTAATGGGTATTACTTATCTATAGCACATGCTTTCACCTATGTGCTGAAACGGCATGTTCTTTTGCTACATTTTCTACATGCATACTTACAGTGCAGTTTAATGAATGTTCATTTATTTTGCCAGAGGTCAGATCTCAGAGTATGCAAATGTTTTCATATCCCTAACAAAAAATAATAAAAAATCACAAAAGTACAAAAACCCACACAAAATTGTAAAAGTTTGTCTGACTGAAGGCTATATCAATATCTCCGGAACATACAGCTGTACCTCTAGTAATGTTGTGTACCTTATCCAGTGCAGAAAATGTAGCAAAGGATCTTATGTTGGCGAAACAGGACAGAGGTTGCAAACAAGGATGAATTTGCACAGACATACCATCAAGGAACATAAAGAAGATGACTTTTACACACCTGTGGGACACCATTTCTCACAACCAGATCACACAATGGGAGACCTCAATATTTTAGTTCTTAAAGGAAATTTCCACTCCATTCAGGAAAGAAACTTTTGAATGATAATTCTATTTGACACAAGAGATAACGGCCTTAATTCGGACATGGTATTCCTCAATCATTATCTAACAGTTTTTTTGACTATCACCTCAAGCATGACTCCCTCTGTAGTGTTGTCTCCCCCCCCCCCCCCCCCCCCCAGTCTTTGCTTTGCTGTGTCTCTAGTCTTTCTTCTTCTTTTTTTTTTTTTTTTTATCCCCTACATCTCTTCTAACATTCTGCTAAAACTTTATGATTAGTACTGCTTGGACTTTGAAGAAGGTGACATACCCCGAAAGCTTGTCCTCAAAATTGTATGTTAGTGCAAATAAAAAAAGTATTACGGACAGTACTCAGTTGTTTCTGACTGAAGGGATACTTATAACCTCTTCTATCTATTTCAATTATTATTATTCAGGATTTATATAGCGTCAGTAGTTTTGCCCAGCGCTTTACAAAATGAAGGTAGACATTACAATTACAATACAATTTGGTACAAGAAGAAACTGAGGACCCTGCTCAATTAGCACCACTTCCAGCTTCCCGATACATCTCACTATTTCCACAGCTTGTGTTGGCCTAAGAGTAAGAGGCATGGAAGTTGCCAGGTAGAATTCAATAGCTGCTTAAAACCCAGTTGAAGCTTTTCTATATATTACAGCAGTGTAGTCATGCTGCATATACATTAATAAATATGCCCTCCTTTCTGTGTATGTTAATATACTGTTACTGTTGTAGTAAGGGTTAAAATACCCCATACTGGCGACACTCTGGAGAATTGGTCTGTAGCTCTTCCCTTGTACACAAGGGAAGCTTCAATTGGGCTTTAAGCTGGTCAGCCAAATACCAAAGTCTTTCTGCGCTGCTTAACAAGAAATGAAAACCGATGTGCTGAAACCGCTTGCTATTGGTAGTAGTTTGAGACCCTATTACATACAGGTTTGCTTCAAAGGGTCATTCCACCCAAAATAAAACTTAGGTGGTGTCAGAATTGCTGATTTTAAGACTGGTGTTCCTCCTGTCATAAGTTTGCCCCACATAACTCCTAGCTCATCTTGCCCACCTTGGTATAGCTCATCCTTCTACAAGAACTATATTCTGTAGAATTCCTCTGCTTCATAAAATAAATCCCACCAAGGCCAGTGGTGTTTCTTATAATTGCTGTAGAAGGTGTGCAGACCTAAAGGTGAACTTTGGGCACAAAAACTGTTGTTAAAATATATTCCTCTATAGCGACAAGAAATAGAAGTTCACTTTGTGTGCACAAAATTCCTTTTACAGGGTATTATCTGGGTTTGCAAAGTAGCTGTGGCATCCTCACTGTGCTGTACAGAGAGCAGAGCTGTGGGAAGGATCCATTAGACCCACCCACTACAGACTTGTCTGCAGAAAGCTACAGGAGGGGGTGGATACAAAATCGGTCAAACTGCGTGAGGATAGAGAGCAGGAATGACTGGCCTTTAAGATTTAAGTAATAATTCATATGACTCAGTAAATATAGACAATACAGGCATACCTCAGTTTACGTAGTTAATTTGTTCTGCGGTACTTATCGTATAGTGAGAAAGTGGTAAACCGAAACGCCGTTTCCCATAGGAATGCATTGAAAACCAATTAATCCGTTCCTGAGGTCAGAAAAAGGTAAACGCTACTAAAATACCACATGGGTTATTTTATCAAGTCATGCGGTATTTTAGTAGTGACAACCATGTGTTAATGTTTCAGCTGTCAGCAGAGTTCCCCACTGACAGCTGAATGTAAAAGAATTGCCGGCAATTAAAAATATAAATAAAAAACTGGTGTGGGGTCCCCCCTCCCATCCATACCAAGCCTTTCGGGTCTGGTATGGATTTTGAAGGGAACCTCCACGCCGAAATAAAAAAAAAAAATGGTGTGGGGGTCCCCCCCCCCCCAAAATCCATACCAGACCCTTATTTGAGCATGCAGCCCGGCAGGTCAGGAAAGGTGGGGAACGAGCTAACGTGCCGGTTTTTAAATGTAACTACTTTTTTTTTTTTTTTTTTCCTTCACTATAGCTCAGAGATTCAGCTGTCACTTTCCCCCCAGCTAAAAGAGAAAGTTTCTTTTTAGTCTATTTCCCCAATGTTTCCTTTTAGTTACTTAAAAGAAACCAAGCTTCCTTTAAGTCTGGGGAAAGTGACAGCTAATACTGTGAGCTATAGTGAAGAAAAAAAAAGCCAGCAATTGCATTTAAAAATTGGCACCAACATACACTTCGTATTGCAAAAAAAATTTGTAAAAAATTCTTAAACCTGGGCATTATTTTCAATGGATTTTCATTCGGAAACCAAAAATTACATTAACCGAGGTGTTTGTAAACCGAGGTACACCTGTAGTTAATTATCCTGGAGTTCCCCAATGGCAGATACACAGAAACAAGTGTAAAGTGAAGGAAAAATATCTCTAGTGGGTGCTCCAGATAATGATAAAAATCTGACAGGGATTGTAACTCAATCTATACAAAACTAAAAAGCCTGTTTTGGATGGACATGCACTAGAATTGTCTAGCATCTACCAAATTTTGAAATCTTTAATTTGCGGTATACTAACACTTAAACTCAGACTGCTGTGGATCCTAAAATTATTCAGCCTTGCCATCATGTTTGTAGATTTGCTAGTTGGTTGAACTATTTGATGACACTTAAACTAATACATTTTTCAGGTCTCAGGCAGGACTACGCCTCCAGCTCAGCGTCTGTTTCCAGGCGCAGTTCCAGCGCCTCCCTCCACTCTCTGAGAAGAGGAACATTTAGCGATCAGGAATTTGACACGTATAGTCTGGAGGATGAGGATGACTACGACTGTTCTTTGTCTTACCGCAGTTCACACCGCTATTCCCCATCACCTCTCAGTTCACCTCGATGCCAATCACCCTCCACAGTGGGGGACAGCAGTCGAAGCAGCGCTTCTCGCATAAGACCTCCTCGCAGATCTATGCAAAATCACGGGCAGGATCGGATGAAGTACCCAAGTTGTGAAGGTTTGTGTTGCTTAGGTTTTTTTTTGTTTTGTTTTGTTTTCTTTGTTTTATATTGTACAGAAATGTAATTTATTGCTTATTATAGATGACTTGCGGCACAGTATGCCCAATCTTGCAAAAACAAGTTTACGTTCTCTGGAGGCGGTGAGAAGCAGCCGGAGCTTGGAGTCCGATCTTCAGGGTCCGAGCAGCCGACTGAGCAGGATTCAGCAGCCCTCAACTAGTATGTTCATTCAAAGCCAAACCTCTGCCTAATAAGTGAATGTCTGTCCCTTTTTTTTTTTTTTTTTTTTTTTTTTTTTTGTAATAGTTGGTTATTTTGAAATGTAGAACCAATTCTGTATTTATACTATTCTGTGCATATCCATTGGTTGGCTATAGATACAGGTGACAACTGTCCAAGTTTGTCTAGCATAACTTAGAACACGTTTGTACTATACACCTGTATGATTGTATCTAAAGGCAATCTCAATTCTTCAGAGCTTGGAGGAAAAGAGTTTGCCCTTAAAATACCACAGCACTGTCCGATTTCTCTGCTCAATAACTGTGAGCACTTATTGTGCCTTCAGGTAATACTTTTATCCTAATTGTACAGTACAGAAGACAGCAAAATATTCATAGACCCTAGGTTATAGGCTTGTACCCTCAGGGCATTTGACACTGGAAAGCTTTTGAGGACACGCCTCCTATACAACCCTACATGACTGTGAATCACCCACATTTTTGCAAGTGTATGCAGGTGAAGGATCTCTTCTACCTTGCAGAGAAATCACTCTTCGCTTAACTAGTTTATTATTTTATCTTCTGATTCCTCAGTCATCTCTTCAGTCATCTCCTTCACTAGCTTCTAATAGGAGCACTACATCTTGATCAGGCAACCTCCTTAAAATCCTGTCGTCTTTGTCCACACACCTGTATCTCCATATTGTTTCAAGCACACTGGCCAGCACTCGCCAGAATCTTCTGGTCTCATCTCGACACTTTACGCTTCTCTTAAAGATAGGACTTCCTTTAACATCCCTTTCCAGTGTAGTTCAGTGAGAGCAAGATCTTGGCTCCTCTATTGAGGGGGAGAATTGGAGCAAGGCCTGGAAGATGGTGGCGAAGTGCTCTTTTAACACCATTACCCTTGAGGCTGCCTATAAAGTTCTCCTGCAGTGTTACTGGGTCCGGCTCGGATGATCCATGCCTATCCTGGCAGCAGCGACAGGTGTTTCAGGAATTGCGGTCAGTATGGGGACGTTGTGCATATTTGGTGGTCATGCCCGCTTCAATCTGTTTTTGACCCGCTTCAATCTGTTTCATGTTATGGTACGCAAGGATGCCAGGTTGGCCCTCTTACACTGTACTATTCTGGGCCTTCTCGTACCATAGCAGAAATGTTGCTTCCTATCTTTTTATCTCTGCAGAATGAACTATAGCTCAAGCCTGGAAGACACGCTTGGTTGCTTTCCAAGGTGTGAATGGATGACTGCCATGATAGTCAATGAGCAGATGCCCAGTGTTGTTAAGGACTCGCACCCGAAGTTTCTTAGTTTGGGAACCCTGGATAAAATATATGCCTTCCAATCCTTACCTCAAACCAATTATGGCCGTTTATAGGTATTGCCTGTGCCGGTCCTGAGTCCATGATACTTCCTCTCTTGACTTTTTCCTCTCGTTCCTGCTTCTCTCTTTCCCTGCATTTCCCTCTTTTATTTTCTTACTCTTCATTCTTACTTTCATTTTCTAGATGATACTTATCAGGGATTGTCACCCCTTCGAGGACAGCTTGGCAATGATAGTGATATTTGAGTCGACCCTCCTACCGGTATTCCTTGGTTCTGGTTAGGACTCTGCTGATTTTAAAATTATACATTGTCTACTTGTTCCTACATGTGACCACTCAGATTAGTCTCAGTTGGAACACCGGAGGATACATCATACCACTGGTCCCACAGTTCACCTCCACATCTGCCTAGAGCCCTAAGAAAGTACTATAATGCTTTCTTCTGACCTTACACCACAGGACAATCTGCACTCGGGTTTACTTCTTTCAAACCCACTTACCCTATATTCTGCACCCTGCTATGTGAGTACATCACATGGAAATACCCTCACACATAGCTTTGGCGGAAACCAGATAAAAGGGAGCCATGGAAAAACCTCAGGTGAACATTCACTGTATGCTTGAGTGTAGTGTGGGCCTTTGGTAGTGATGTTGCTTCCTTTGCATCAAAGAAGGAACTGATTTTAACGCCATTCTGATTCTAGTTCTATTTCAGGCATGCAGCAAGTGGCCCACCTGACAAAAGCAGGATTTTCTGCACCTGTGCCACATTTCCTCAGACAACTAAGTGCTTTAATACAGCCAACTCTGCCCTGGTCTTCAAAACACCATGTCAGTAATATAAAAGGAAAAATAACAAAAGTGTTCAAAAATCAACTTGCCAGCCAGCTTGCCAACAACCAAATTAACCTGTCTAACAGTATGTGTTAAAAACAGGGGTTTAGTTAACACACATTTGCAAATGCATACGTAAGCAACAGAGCCACATCACGGCACCCTGATATTCTGTGGTCCTAACTCTACAAATTTGAGTCCCCATAGTAGAGGCACATGCATTCAAAACACCATGCCATGTCTCCAGCTCCTTTGTCTCTACATGAGTTACATACCAATACGATTGCCCCAGACAAGGCAGATACAGAAGGGAATGAGAAGGCTATAAAGGCATTATTAGAGAAGGCTGCAGAAGATTTTCTCTCCCACACTTTTACACCTGCCCTGGGAGCTTCACAAAAGATGCTGGCTAATGTGGATAAGCTCACTGTCGCTGTGCACAAGGCATTGTAGAAATTGATTCTCAACCATCTTGGCCCCTTTGGGTACAAAGAAAACCCACGCAATCTATGGACTTTCCATGTTCACTAAGAAATATATTGTCCAATCTGTGTTGATTGGATCACTCCAAGATTTTCACTCCTCCAAAATCTTTTCCAAACTACATCCAATGGAAAAGGAGTTCACTATAAAGTGGTCTGTTCTATAATTGATTTGCTTTTTTCTTCTTTTTTGTTTTTTTTTTTTATTCTTTATTTTAGTAACCGCACACGGCAACAGTACAAAAATCAACAATAAACAAAAACTTTTTACATCTCTAGACACACAATGTCATTCAGCACTTCATACCTTTCCTGAGTAGTTGGGCTCGCAGGTCCAACTCCGTAAGCACAGAACACACCCATCTGCTTAGTTCAGACGTCTCAGGTTAGGGGGAGTTTCTGTGACCTGCGCTGCACCTTTTTAGTTTTTCTTTTTTCCCATCAATAAAAACAGCAGTCAGGTAAAGAAATAGAGAAAAGGGAGAAAGTGGGGGAGAAGGGAAAAAAAAAAGGGGGCGGAGGGAGTCAGAAGTGGGGGAGCCTATTCAACGTCATTGTTGATTTGCTTTCTCAGTCTTGAACAACTCACAGTATCAACTGAAGATGTCTCAGGTTATCCAGATTACACCTGGAAAGCAGATGTGGCCTTCAGAAGAAGGTAAACATCCACGGGGACAATTAAAGTGTTACTAAACCCACAACAGTAAAATCAGTTTGTATATGCAGCAAAGCATGCTTGTTATATTCACTGGGGAACTTAAGGGTTAATCCTCTGCAATGTGTACAAACAAAGGATGTTAAATCCTCCCCTTCTTCCATGTTCTCCGTTTCATCTCCTGATAGAACACAACCTCAGTGACACTGTGCATATGATCAGTTTAGTGTTTACTGCTAGAGAGTTTTCTCTTTTTCTTGGGAGGGTGCATGTGATCAGCACAGGGCCAATCGGCACTGCCCAGACAGAGGGTCATGGGTTATGCAATCTCATAGAACAGTGAGAGGAGAATGAAAACTACAAGCTTTAACCAATGCTCAGCTGGACACTGATAGCAGTCACTAGACTGCTGTATACTGCTATTGGGGGAAAGGTATTTAGCAGTTTATACTTACTAAAATAATTGTGTTTCTGTGTACTGTGGGAGACCAGATCTAGTGAATGCAGGGTTCTAGGTTTAGTAACACTTTGATCACGCACCCTAAAAGTTTGGAGTCTCTTAATTTTCAAAAATCTGCTTTCCAGCCTTTTCTTCTCTGTTCCTGGACACATCCCAAACAAAGGCCTTTCTTCCAGACCAAAGTATTCCAGGTGAAGAGAAGTCCTTTCCTGAGCCCATGCTCAAGAACTGAGGTCATAGACATCCCATAATGAAATTTGTCATGGGTCTTAAGCCTCATGATGGCCTCCCTTTTCGAGGTTGTACCATTTGCCCATCTTTTGAGACTTCTGCAGCGCAGCATCTGGTCAGCCTGAAACAAAGCATGCTCCTTCCCTTGTTCTACCCATGCCCCTAACCAGCCAAGCAAGGAGTTCCTTAACTTGGTGGATCTCCAACCCAGCCAAGATGAGCAATACCAGTCTTCTAGGCAGTGTAGGAGTTTTCCAGTAATGCAACAGAAGAAATTTTAGTGAGCGCTACCAAAAGAACAACAAAGAGTATGTGTGTGTGTGTGTATGTGTGTGTGTATATATATATATATATATATATATATGTAGATACATATATACACACATACATACACACATATATGTATATGTATTCAAATAAATAAGCAGCTGATACACCGAAAGGCAACCAAAAGAAAACCTCCAATAGTATATATGTTCAAATAAGCGCTAAATAGTAATATATATTAATAAACATACTGCCATGCAATTTCAAATAAATGTGGATAGGTGATATCACCTTAAGGTGATTAATTGTGATATATAGTTCAAAATAATCGTGTGGATCATATCACCTATCCACATTTATTTGAAATTGCATGGCAGTATGTTTATTAATATGTATTACTATTTAGCGCTGCACCAACTTATTTGAACAGGAGTTTTCCAGTGCCTTATGGTCCAGGTAACATGGTCAATGGTGAAAGCCAAAATCCTTCTCAACATTCTGTAGCTCAGAGCAATAAATAAGGCTCTGCAACACCCCCCTCTACGGGGACACCCAGTCAGTGTGCAGTCAGACAGTGCCACAAAATGGCCTGCATCAGCGATCTTGGGGACACTAGGAGTCATGTTGCCTTGAAGGAAGCAAGCCAAATAGTCTCATGGAGTCCACCTCCTAGTTGTGGACAACTGGAAAGCCAATTTCCTCAGCCACCACTGTCTGATATGTAAAGTTTAAAATGTTTGTGTGA